GTATGCATTGCAAGGACCTTATCCCCACCTCTGCGAGTAATAGTGTGTATATAGTAGAATTTTTTTTTTCACCAGCTGCAGTGCTATATAAAACTTCTCAAATGTTGTGAGAGTCAGTGACCCTTGTTTAAGTGAAAGTGCATTGAAAGTGTAAGCGCTTAGTAGATCGGCCCCATAGTAAATTCTAATGGGTTCTAATACAGATATATTAGCAATATTGTGCAGAGCCTATAAGTCTATGTACACTTACCCAGTGGTGTGCAAGATATATATATATATAGAATATTAGATAGGAATATACCAATAAACAAAAATTGTATAAAATAATCAAAATTTATTATGTTTTAAAAAAACATGGGTATTCCTAACTATTGCTATAAATAGCTGCTAACACAGTACAAATAAGTGATGATTGGTTCCAATAATCACTAGATGATGCAACAGAGTCAGTGATATAAAAAAAAAAAAGTGTTCCTGTGGAATATATTACCAGTCATTCATAAGCAGCAAGACCTGTATGGCATTTGGAGGCTTAACCAATATCCTTATGAAGGTGATGATTTGTTCTGGTCTCCAGATAGATACTTTTGTAGCAGATGGATCCATTAAATGCCAGCCTCAGTGAAAGTTTCTTAGAGCAAGCAGTAGGCTTAAGTAAGCACTGTAGATAAAACACTGTAGATAAATCTCTGAAACTCTGTTGCAATTAGCCTCTTCTCCACTTCAACATGTTTCACCTGTCCCCACAGGCTTTTTCAAGATAAGGAGATAACAGCACATCAAAGTCTTTTATATCCCTTCTGTTTGAAAATTGTCAGTTTCTTAAAGCTGTAGTCTGTTTTCTGCTGGGGCAGAACTTTTCCTGTGCTTAACTCCAATATTGCTCATTTGATGTTTTCTGTGGTTAATTTGTAAGTTTTGTGAAGTTTTAATTCAATGTCCTTTTTATAGTTATTCTTTGGACCACGGTATTCTGAGTTCTCTATTACATTTTCGTACTTATTAATACCAAATCCATTAATTAGATCAGTTATATATTTTATATTGAATATGCATTTTTCTAATATATTCTATACCGAAATCATAAAATCTTAAAGACATACGGACACTAGTAAAAACAAGTTAAGAAATTATAAATGAAATAATACTAAACAGATTCATTTTACTTATACATGTTTAATTGAAGATTATGCTAGCTTTAGTGTACTAATAATCTTAATTTTAGTAACGACAGGAGGTGGGTATTTGCATAACTCTCTTTACTGAAAATCTCCAGCAGCACAGAAACAGTAACAACTAGTGATGTCCCGAACAGTTCGCCGAACAGTTTGCGAATGGTTTGCCACGAACGGTTCGCCACAGATGAGGGTTTGGGAGGGTTTGGGAGGGAGGGTCTGCTGCTGATTGGCTGGAATGTGTCTGCTGACTGTGAGGTACAGGGTCAAAGTTTACTCAATGATGAGTCTGCGGCGAACTGTTCGTGGCGAACCGTTCGCGAACTGTTCGGCGAACCGTTCGGGACATCACTAGTAACAACCAATCAGAAAAAAAGTCAGATGGCACATAAAAGGCCCTGACAGTGACATAATTTCCTCTATCTTTATAGCGAGGATATAACAGGTAGTAAAACATAAGAACAAAGATTTAAACGATAATATCAGTCCAACAACAATATTCGAATACCAATGGAAGCTTCAAACATGTACGTAGAAAGATGAGTCCATCCTTGATCAGTATCCAATTATGCTGAAAGAAAAATAAATAAGTGAAAGGTTTCTAAAGTGGCAAGTTGCCCGCATATAATGTATATTCGATTACACCAACAGCTTGCTAACTGTAACTCATTTAACAAAGTCAGTGCTATATACCTATGTTACATAAATATCATAGACGAAATAAACCAGATACCATTTAGAATGTTTACAAATTAAAATCACAAAGGGAGGGAAAAAAAAACAATAGGGTGGGAAATATTCGCCTCCTGTCTTTACTAAAATGAAGATTATTAGTACACTAAAGCTAGCATAATCTTCAATTTTACCACATGACGGGAGGCTTCCTATTTGCATTTTTAATGCTATGAATTAACCAAAGTTAAAGAGGCATGCAAAGTCTGCCTAAAGTAGAACGTTCTACATGTGCTCTCATGTGTCCAATCTGCACAACACATAATATCGGCCAGCGAAGCTCCTGCCAACAATGCCTGTGAAGCGGCCGCACCCCTGACTGAGTGAGTCCCAAAACATGGTTCAACGCCGGCTAACGCTAGAAGCCAGCTAATCCATCTGGCCAACACCGGGCAGTGGGGTAGACACCAGGCAGTGGGGTTTCACAAATGAAAATCATAAGCTGACCCGCCGACGATGTTCGGAGGGAAGCTGAGATTTCTATATAACGCATCAATATCCTAACCACACACAGTCTGGGATCCGATACAAAAAAACGGGTAAAAAAAACGACGATTTAGTTTGACGTGATATCTGGAAGGTAACCTCTTCTGGAGTGAAGGTGAAACCGTCGACATCAAATGCCCATACATCTGATACGCGACGAAACGAGACATAGTAAAAGGGGTGAGTTTGGCTGAAATTTGTTTCAGTGAAAGGTATGGGTTATCCAGCCACTCCCTCAGGAAGTGTAGGACCACATCCACATGCCATAGGCGTGAATATTTTGGTGCTGAAGGTCTCGACAGCTTGGCACCCTGAAGCAAGCAGCAAACTAACGGGTCTTGACCCACCGGAATGCTCTGTATCGGTACGTGTTCTGCCAATATGGCCAGTCTAATCACATTAAGGGATTGGTACAATCGCTCTTGTGAGAACAGATGAGATAGATAGTTTAGTATCACAGGAATAGGTGCTGTAAAGGGATCGGAGTCCCTGTTCATACACCAACTATTACAGGCTGTCTATGCGGAAATGTAACATCTTCATGTGCCGGGACCCCATGAATCCCAAAGGAGGTCTTTGGTAGATTGCGATAGGCCCTGGACTGACCAGGAACCCCTGAAATCATCCAGGCTACCAGGTCTAGCTTCTGATCTAGAACGAGGGGGTGATGTTCCCCTCGTGGTAGAGGGAAGGATGGTAGCAGTATCGGTGTGTCGTAGGACATCTCTAATAGGTCCGGGAACCAGGCCTGGCTCTGCCAAAGGGGAGTGATAAGCAGTAGGGATATCTTGTGGATCTGTACATGTCGGATCACCCTCGCAATCATGGAAAACGGGGGCAAGGCATATGCCCCCTGTTTTGGCCATGTTTGCAGGAATGCATCCACTGCCTTGCAATTCGGGTCCGGAAGCCAACTGTAGTAGTTCGGTAGTTGGTGGTTGGTCTGGGATGCAAATAGATACAGACTCAATGGGTGTTTCCAAAGCCTCAATTGTTGGAATATTGAGGTGTTGAGTTTCCAGTCGCTGTTGTCTCTCCAATGTCGAGAGAACCAGTCCGTTGTCAGGTTGGAAGTTCCTGATAGATATTTTGCCCACAGTGTGATGTTGCGTGATAGGCAGAACTGGTATATGTCCTTGGTGGCCTCCGTGAGGGCTTGTGATCTGGCTCCGCCCAGGCGGTTGATGTATTGTACTGCCAAAATATTGTCCATGCGGAGAATAATGCAGCAGTCTGACATGTCTTTGGCTAGGCTGTGAATGGCGAAGGACCCCGCTATCAATTCCAGGCAGTTGATGTGGAAGTCGGTCTCTTCGCCCTGCCAAGGTCCCCCTGTGGAGGAGTCCGCGTAGTGTGTGCCCCAGCCCCAGAGGCTGGCGTCTGATTCCACAATGAAGTCTGGGGATGAACCAAAGATTGCTTTGCCATTCATGGCATGCATGTGTAGCAGCCACCAAGTTCTGTCTGAACGTCGTCTGAGAGCTGGATCCAATGATCGTATGAGTGACCCGAGTGCAGGCATCGTGCTTTCAAGCATTGCATGGCTCTGTGGTTTAGAGGTCCAGGGAATATTGATTGGATTGAGGACGAGAGTAGGCCCACAATCCGTGCAAGCATCCTGGGGGGAAAAGTCTCCATCCGGAGGATCCGTCTGATCTCTTTCTGAATTGAGGCTATCTTTGCCGTGGGGAGGTGTAGCATACAGTTCTTCAAGTCGATCTCGAAGCCAAGGAACTGAATTGACTGGGCGGGAGAGAGAGATGATTTTTGTCTGTTCACCACAAAACCCTTTAAGGATTCGTGAAAAGTGAACAACAAACTTCGTCTGCAATCGTAGTCTGGATGCGGATTCACAAGAAATCAGCAAATCGTCCAAATGAACGAGACATCGCACGCCTGAGGTTCGGATGTGAGCCTTCAGCAGCTTCAGAAGCTTTGTGAAGCCCCACGGAGTGGAGCTGAGACCAAAAGACAGACATGTAAACTGGCATGTACGTCCTCTCCAACTGAAATGGGGAAATTACAACAATCTAGGGTGATGTGGACTGACAGGTACGCGTGAACCAGTCGTTCGCGATGAGAAGATCTTGTAGGAGATGAATACCTTTCATCTTGCAATATCTGTATACCGCGTAGTAATTCAGGTGTCGCATATTGATAACCGGTCGGTAATCACCTGTCTTCTTCTTGACTAGGAAGATATTGCTTAGGAAAAATGCCATCCTCCGATGTGTATTGCACTGCGCCCTTGGGTATGTTCTGGAGCACATCGACCAGGAGCAGCTGGTGGCTCGACTCTGCTGACGACCAGCCCGCCTACAACCACCTCGTCCGGGTGGGGCTCAGAAGACCTGTTTCCAGGAAGCTTGTGCCTTTTTTAAAGCGGTGAACAGGTTTACGTGTCTCTTGAGTTCGGCTATGAAGGCTTCTCCGAACAGTAGGCCTTTGGCTTCTGGCCCAAGTGCTTTGTGGCGAATATTCCGAGGGTCGAAAAGTGGTACTCCTGCTCGTCCAAGAAGGTACCATCTTCGGCCGTCTTAGCTTTTGGGACCCTCTGGGCATGCTTGTGTCCATCCATCTCCCCGAGGATGGTCTCTTTGACATATTTTTAGGATGACTACGGTAGGTCCTGCCAGTCGTCCTCATCCGAAAGTGAGGAATCTTCGCGCCACTCATCCACAACGTTAAGATCACCTTGTGGGTCATAGTCCTCCTCATCTGAGGAAAGGAAGGTGGTAGAGGGTAGCAAGATCCCGGTGTTCCACATGTTTGGGCCGTTTAACCGGTGCCTTGCCTTTTGGTTCTAGAGGCTGGGGGCTTGTACACTTTCAGTGTTGTTTGGACTTCGACAGTTCTGAGCCCGAGGCCTCCGTCATATCCGGTGGGCCTGGGTCTCCCTCCATGAGAACACATTTAGAATGTTCTACTTTAGGCAGACTTTGCATGCCTCTTTAACTTTGGTTAATTCATAGCATTAAAAGAGCCTTCTCTACTGAGGCCACAACCACAGCGTTAATCATCGCCTGGAAGTCTTGGGTCGGTTGCGGTGTGTCTTCCATGTCTGGAACTGTCCTGTGTGTGAAACAGTGATGGACAGTGAGGTGCAATAGTGGCAGGGTAATCACCTAGAGGTATCAGCCTCCTCGTACAACTGGGGTGAGCCCAGGGTATAGTGACCCCAAAAATATGTATTTATTAATGCCCGTGAGTGTATAGTAGTAATGTTTGCCAATGCGGGAGGGCCCTCTCACCTGATAGAACAGGGGGATACCCTTGAAAGATAGCGGAGACCTGAGTGTCTCTTATGTACTGGGTGTACCTCCGTTGTACCCGGAGTTGAAACCACGATCACTTCAGATTAGTGCGTCACAGAGGGGCATTCAGTGCATAAAATATTTGCTGCCATAGCAGACCTGCATATAATGCGCTGGGGTTCGCCCCAGGTGGTGCGCCGTGACTATCAGAGGACACCCACGTTAACCATAGGCACAATATCCGGTAGACACAGATAGCTGGTAGGTCATACAGGTGGCATGCCATGAAAAACGCCAGAGGACAGCCACAGTATTGTTTGTACTCTCGGTACAGTATATATATAAATAACCCTGTGCAGAGTAACAGTATATATGCACTCAGGCAGTATAGTATATACACTTAGTCTCCTTGAGAGAAAAGGCCAGTTGTTACACTCAGGCAGTATAATACACTGCTCAAAAAAATAAAGGGAATACTTAAACACAATGTAACTCCAAGTCAATCACACTTCTGTGAAATCAAACTGTCCACTTAGGAAGCAACACTGAGTGACAATCAATTTCACATGCTGTTGTGCAAATGGGATAGACAACAGGTGGAAATTATAGGCAATTAGCAAGACACCCCCAATAAAGGAGTGGGTCTGCAGGTGGTGACCACAGACCACTTCTCAGTTCCTATGCTTCCTGGCTGATGTTTTGGTCACTTTTGAATGTTGGCGGTGCTTTCACTCTAGTGGTAGCATGAGACGGAGTCTACAACCCACACAAGTGGCTCAGGTAGTGCAGCTCATCCAGGGTGGCACATCAATGCGAGCTGTGGCAAGAAGGTTTGCTGTGTCTGTCAGCGCACTGTCCAGAGGATGGAGGCACTACCAGGAGATAGGCCAGTACATCAGGAGACATGAAGGAGGCCGTAGGAGGGCAACAACCCAGGAGCAGGACCGCCACCTCCGCCTTTGTGCAAGGAGGAACAGGAGGAGCATTGCCAGAGCCCTGCAAAATGACCTCTAGCAGGCCACAAATGTGCATGTGTCTGCTCAAACAGTCAGAAACAGACTCCATGAGGGTGGTATGAGGGCCCGACCTCCACAGGTGGGGGTTGTGCTTACAGCCCAACACCGTGCAGGACGTTTGGCATTTGCCAGAGAACACCAAGATTGGTAAATTCGCCACTGGCGCCCTGTGCTCTTCACAGATGAAAGCAGGTTCACATTGAGCAGATGTGACAGACGTGACAGAGTCTGGAGACGCTGTGGAGAATATTCTGCTGCCTGCAACATCCTCCAGCATGACCGGTTTGGCAGTGGGTCAGTAATCGTGTGGGGTGGCATTTCTTTGGGGGGCCGCACAGCCCTCCATGTGCTGCCAGATGTAGCCTGACTGCCATTAGGTACCGAGATGAGATCCTCAGACCCCTTGTGAGACCATATGCTGGTGCGGTTGGCCCTGGGGTCCTCCTTATGCAAGTCAGTGCTAGACCTCATGTGGCTGGAGTGTGTCAGCAGTTCCTGCAAGATGAAGGCATTGATGCTATAGACTAGCCTGCCGGTTTCCCAGACCTGAATCCAGTTGAGCACATCTGGGACATCATGTCTCGCTCCATCCACCAACGTCACGTTGCACCAAAGACTGTCCAGGAGTTGGTAGATGCTTTAGTCCAGGTCTGGGAGGGTGTCCCTCAGGAAACCATCCGCCACCTCATCAGGAGCTTTCACAGGCATTGTAGGGAGGTCATACAGGCAAGTGGAGGCCACACACACTACTGAGCCTCATTTTGACTTGTTTTATGGACATTACATCAAAGATGGATCAGCCTGTAGTGTGTTTTTCCACTTTAATTTTGAGTGTGACTCCAAATCTAGACCTCCATGGGCTGAAAAATTTGATTTCCATTTTTTTATTTTTGTTTGATTTTGTTGTCAGCACATTCAACTATGTAAAGAACAAAGTATTTCAGAATAATATTTAATTCATTCAGATCTAGGATGTGTTATTTTTGTGTTCCCTTTATTTTTTTGAGCAGTGTATATACACTCCGTTTCCTTGAGAAAAAGGGTGATGGCACATTACAAGCATTGCATGCATATCTGGGGGGTCACCCCAGGTGGTGTGCCATGAAAAAATACCCAGAGGACACCCACGTTCAATACGTACAGTAAATATATATATATATATATATATATATATATATGTATCCCTGTGAGGGTACTCTGCAATACACTCAGTTTCCTTAATGATCCTGCATGCAAATTGTATCCAGCAAGTGGAGTGGTACTGTTGTTTTAATGTAAAACTGACAGGCAGTGTTTAAACATCCATATATGTATGTGGAGATCAGTTTGAGCTGAGCTGATTTACTGTGGAGGTAATCCTGAGAAAGGAAAACCAGTGCTAAGGTGCAGGACGGGTGGTGTGCCATGAAAAAAATACCCAGAGGGCACCCACGTTCAATATGTGCACTAGGTACAGTAAATATAAAATGTACCCCTGTGAAGGGTACTCTGCAATACACTCAGTTTCCTCACTGATTCTGCATGCAAAACATCTCCAGCAAGTGGAGTGGTACTGTTACGTTAATGTAAAAAAATGTTTTTTAAACATCCATTATATGTATGTGGAGATCAAGTTGATCTGGGCTGTTTTACAGTGAAGGCAATCCTGAGAAAAAACAGGTGCAGATCAGGTGATTTCCGATCTGTAAAAGTAGTAGGAAAAAATGGCCGCCGTGAATCTCGCGATACCCGTGAGGTCCAAGATGGCTGCCGTTCGCACGCAAATGTCAGCAACGCTTTCTCTCGTCGCAGGCGTACCAGCCTCCCTCCACCTCGTCCCCACACAGTCCCACCAAATTCAGCCAAAGACACTACCACAAGGTCCGCGGTGCTGGCGCGGCACCGACAGCCATGACGACTGAGGAGAGGGAAAAAACGCCTCAGGCAATGTACAATAATAACAAGGGGACAGTGGGAGTGAAAAACTATAAGACAACATAAATCCAAAGAGGGACAGGTACAGGAGAGACAGGGACTATAGTAGTAGATGGTAGATGGTTATTTTGTTCCCTATCCTTTTTTATTCTCTCTCCTTTTTATAGTTTTAGTTGAGACTTTTTAGTTCTCAATTTACTAAATCTACCTCTTTATGCACTGATCCAAATAGGAGTCTTATGTGTATTGTAAATGATTGCATAAAATTAATCATGTATATGTAAAATTAATCTGTTTAGTATTATTTCATTTATAATATCTTAACTTGTTTTTACTAATGTCCGTATGTCTTGAAGATTTTATGATTTCGGTATAGAATATATTACAAAAATTCATGTGCAATATTAAATATATAACTGATATAATTCATGGATTTTGTATTAAAAAGTAAAAAAAAATGTAATAGAGAACTCAGAATACCATTGTCCAAAGAATAACTATAAAAAGGACATTGAATTAAAACTTCACAAAACTTACAAAATAACCACAGAAAACATTGGAGTTAAGCACAGGAAAAATTCTGCCCCAGCAGAAAACAGACTACAGCTTTAAGAAACTGACAATTTTCAAACAGAAGGGATATAAAAGACTTTGATTTGCTGTTATCTGCTTTTCTTGAAAAAACCCCTGGAGATAAGGTGAAACATGTTGAATTGGAGATAAGGCCAATTGAAACAGAGTTTCAGAGATTTATCTACAGTGTTTTATCTACAGTGCTTACTTAAGCCTACTGCTTGCTCTAAGAAACTTTCACTGTGGCTGGGATTCTAAGGGATCCATCTGCTACAAAAGTATCTATCTGGACACAAGAACAAGCTTTTAAATCATCACCTTCATAAGGATGTCATCCAGCGCTTAAGCCTCCAAATGCCATATAGGTCTTGCTGCCTGTGAAGGAGTGGTAATACAGGAACACTTTACTTTCTTTATATCACTGACTCTGTTGCATCATCTAGTGATTATTGGAACCCATCATCACTTATTTTTACTGTGTTAGCAGCTATTTATAGCAATAGTTAGGAATACCCATGTTTTAAAAAACATAATACATTTTGATTATTTTATACAATTTATGTTTGTTGGTATATTCCTAACTAATATTCTATATATATCTTGCACACCACTGGGGAAGTGTGTATAGACATATAGGCTCTTCACAATATTGCTAATATATCTGTATTAGAACCCATTAGAATTTATTATGGGACCGATCTACTAAGCGCTTACACTTTCAATGCACTATTTGTTTTAAGATTTTAGGAATAATTTTTGTATGTGTTTAGCAGCTAATAATTTATTATAGTTTTACCATTGTTCTTAGTATTATTTGTGATTTTTTGTTTAACAAAACCTTGTTTAACCCCTTAAGACCGGAGGGCGTACAATTACGCCCTATTTTAGGCAGCTCTAAACGCCGCCGGGCGTAATTGTACGCCCTCCGGTCTTTCATTACTTAACCTTGTCCGACCCCCTGGAAGCCCCCCCAGCCATGTGAGAGTGGGGTCCTTGCGAGGACCCCACAATAACATGGCCGGTATAGCTGGCTTCAGTATTGCCAGCAGGGGGGCTGCTTGTAATGGCTGGAAATGAAATAAAATAAAATTAATTAAGTGTAAAAATATATATATACTTAGATCATATATATATTGTATATATAT